ACAAAAAGGGTTTAGAATGACATGAGGGTGAGTAATTCATGACAGAATTTTCATTTTTTGGGTGAACTATCCCTTTAAGGAGCATTCACATTAAGTCTGATTAAATATTTCTGATGATTATGATTATACTTTAAAAATATTTAAAAGAATAATTCACCCAACATGAAAATTTGCTGAATATTTACTCCAGGATGTAGATGTTTGTTTCTTCATCGGAACAGATTTGGAGAAATTCTAGCATTTCTGCAGTGAATGGGTGCCGTCAGAATGATCCACAATAATCCACACGTCTCCAGTCCATCAATTAACGCCTTGTTAAGCAAAAAGCTGCGTGTTAGTAAGAAGCTAATACATTATGGTATTTTAACGTTAAACCGTTGCTTCTCACCAAAATAAGAGTCCATAATAATGCTTCCTCCAGTGAAAAAAAGTCCATCTCCTGCTGTCCTCTCACAGCAAAATCCACTGAGATATTTGTTTTGAACTAGTTTTCACATGTAAATCTGTGCATATTTCTCTCCCCGATCATACTATACAACTTTTTCACTGGAGAAAGCAATATTATGGATAGATGACTCATATTTTAGCTGGAAGCAACAATTTGAAGTTTAAAATGCTTAATAATGGATTTGTTTATTAGAAACACGCAGCTTTTCTTTTCACAAGATGTTAACTGATGGACAGGAGTCGTGTGGATTACTCGTGGAACATTGTGCTGTTTTTATCTGCTGTTTGGACTCTCATTCTGACGGCACCCATTCACTGCAGAGGATCCATTGGTGAGCAAGTAATGTAATGATATTTCTCCAAATCTGTTCAGATTAAGAAACAAACTCATCTACATCTTCGATGGCCTGAGAGTGAGTAAATTTTCATGCTTGAGTGAACATTTTATTCCTTTAATACTTTTTGTGTAATTTAGTCACGTCGGACTTGGTGTAAACAGACTCTGATGTACGATTATTCAACATGCTATTATTACATAATGTTCTCATCTTCATCCTCCTAAGCTCTATCTGCAGTGAAGATCAAGAAGCAATTCAGGCTCAGAAGATCTGGAAGAAAGCCATTATATTGGTGTGGCGAGCAGCAGCCAATCACAGGTGAGAGTCTTCATTACTCTCTACCAAACCCCGCCCCCTTCTGACGAGCTATCTGACTCGTCAAAAAGCCTCAGTTCTGCACAGCCAGAATGATAAAACTGAGTGGTAATTGGTCACTTTAAACAGGTATGCAAATGTCTTCCTGCAACCAGTGACGGATGACATCGCCCCTGGTTACCACAGTATTGTGCACAGGTGAGAGCGAATTGTTGAAGGTAAATTCAAAGGGTTTGTAATGAGGAATCCAATTGTGCTTGATGTTTTCAGATAAAGCTGAAGTACCTACAAAGTCTTTGTGACAATTTCGGGTTCTTAGGCCAATGGATCTGTCCACCATCAAGAAGAACATTGAGAACGGGCTGATCCTGTTCCAGCGCGACATCATGCTGATGTTCCAGAATGTGGTGATGTACAACAGCTCAGACCATGATGTGTTCCACATGGCCGTGGAGATGCAGAGAGATGTTCTAGAGCAGGTCCAGCAGTTTCTGGCCACACAGTTGATCATGCAGACCTCGGAATCAGGCATCAGTGCCAAGAGCCTGCGTGGGAGAGATGCCAACCGCAAACAGGACCCCAGTGACAAGGTGGGACACTTTATGTGCCACAGCACTTTTACACTTTTGCACATTTCATCAGAAGATTCTGGATAACTAATATTAGTCTATTGAAACAGGATATGTGTATGTACATATGGATATATATGTAACAAATAATCGCGATCAATCGCATCCAAAATAAAAGTTTTTGTTTACATATGTGTGTGTACCGTGTATATTTATTATGTATATATAAATACACACACATACAGTATATATTTAGAAAATATTTACATATATTTATATTCATACTTTAATTTATATATAAATATATTTAATATATAAACATAACATATTTTTCTTAAATGTATACATGCATGTGTCTATATATACTATATATATATATATATATATATTGTGTGTGTGTGTGAGTGTATTAATTGTATTTGAGTGTGTGTGTGAGGTGTGTGTACTATATATATACAGTATATATATATATATATATACACACAACACATACACACATATACAGGAGTAACATCACTGTTTTTGAAGTAATTAAACTCGCAGCTTCACTATTAGTAGAGAGACTCTAGATGCTATGAAAAGCTATAATTCAGATAAATGTAATCTTATCACTCTACTCTATCTATGTGTCTGATATACATATATAAAACAATAATATTGTGAAATATTTAAATTAAAAATAACTGTTTTCTATTTGAATATATTTTAAAATGTAATTTTATTTCTGTGATGCCACTGCATTTTCACACGATGACAAGTGTCACATGATCCTTAAGAAATCATTTTAATATGCTGATCAAGAAACATTTCATATGATTTCATATTTATTATAAAAGTTGTGCTGCTTAATATTTTTGTGCAAGCCATGATACATTTTTGTTAAGATTTTTCAATGAATAAAAAGTTCAGAAGAACAGTATTTCTTTGAATCCTTTGAAACAATATAAATGTTTTTATTAATCAATCATGTCCTTGATTAATAAAAATATTGGTTTCTTAAAAACGCAATACTGACACCAAACTTTTGAATGGTATTGCACATGTATACATTTAATAAATAATAATGTTAATTCAATAAACAATTGACATGAAATACTGATTTGAGTTTAAATGATTCAATAATGTGGGAAGAAAGTGATATGAAAGACATTGCAATAGATGTCTAAATCTGGTCAGTCCAACTGAGTTAAGTTTTACAAACATTTATGAAACCATATTCACCCTATCTTTCTGTTCTTGTCTGTTTCAATGCAACATCCACCTTTAAACCACTTTTGCATTTGAGTGTGTATTCGAGACTTCTTTATCCCTCTGATGCTGACCTTTGTCCTCATACAGGACTGTGTTCCGATGGCCTCTCCTGCATTCCTTCTCTCTCTCTTTGTAAGTATCCTGTCTGCTTTTTCTACCACTTATCAGCACTGTTTTTACAGATATTTTGAAGAATGTTGGTAACCAAACAGTTGCTGGTAACCACTGACTTCCACTTCAGTCTGAAAAAAAAATACTATGGAAGTCAATGGCTACCAGCAACTTCTGGTTAACAACATTCTTTAAAATATCTTCTATGTCGAACAGATGAAGAATTTTAATTTTGGGGTGAAGTTCGAGCCAGTTGCTTTTTTGAGAAGTCCCCGTTTTGTTTACTGGAGGTTACTAGTAATTTTTTACATACCATAATTGTCAGATTTTATGTTCAGTCTCACATATATTTAAAAGTGATCTGGAAAAGCTGCTGCAAAAATAGGGGGAAAAATGACTTGCTTTAAAGTGACCTTGACAACCATGACTCCTTCCCTCTCTGCAGGATGGGGGCACAAGGGGGCGACGCTGCGCTATAGAAGCAGACCTGAAGATGAAGAAATGAGCGGCCAGTAGTGGGTTCCTTTGAAACGCTAATAAGTGACTGAGTGCTGACAGCATAGCACAGTCTGTCTGAACCATATCACCAACACGCTTAAACAGAAAAGTTCATGAGGGAATCACTGGAGCATGGTATTGGGGATTGGACAACGATGGGACTGCCTCAAAATCTGTGTGTATGTAATTTTGTGAGGTGTGTTGTGTAGTATTAAAGCTATGTTTTGTGTACGAATAGTGCCTTTACAGGTATTGACAAATGACCGGGAATAAACCTGACGAAAGGACAAAAAATTTAAATGGATATGCCTTCTTATGTGGGAACAATGTTACTGATATTTTACCCGCTTTTCACTCCGCCATAATGCTGTATTCTTGTGTCGTTCCAAACTAAATTACTTTTTTTTTTTTTTAACTTGGAGAGGTTTTAAATAATGTTCACACTGCTTTCTTCCATGTAACGGATGAGGACCAAGGACTTTCAAGCTCAAAAAAAAAAAAAAGACTAAAAAAAAGCATCATAAAAAGAGACCATATGACTTGTGTAGTATATTCAAAGTCTTCTGAAGCGTTATGGTAGATTGGTGTGGGGAACAGTGTAATGACAATGTAATAACTAACGACAGATTGTGATGTACATCTGACTGAAACAGATTATCAAAACCAAAATGTAGGACGGGATCCATTGGTTGTAGACTGGATGGAGACAGATGTGAATACGAGATTGTAGTAAAGAAAATGGCTGGATAAGATCGAAGGAGTTTGATCAAGCAGTGACATTTTTTTATTAAAAATTACGATTAAAAAAAAAAATCGAAATGAAAGAAATAAGATCAATAATCTACAAAATGTTTATGCTGAGTCAAAGTCATTATTTATTGAAATTCTTTGGTCACCATTTACTTTAATTGGCACCTCTTCCTGACAGTTTTATTTGTCAATTAGTGAATTCAGCATACAACTTCACAGACCACAGAGAAACCGTGTTTGATTTAATGTTTTATTTAAGCAGCACAAAAACGCACTCAATCCAAACAAAACTTCCACTTTTAGCATACTGCGTGGAAACAAGATCACAATACCACCACCGGCACAAACTCTCCACGTCTCATCCGACACGCTTCCTCGATTTCATCCCGAATTAGCGGATGCCTCCTGTAGCACTTCTAAACATCCCTCAGGCTCAAATTCGTGCTAAAGATCAGTATGTTATTATATATAGAACATAGTGTTCAGTGACAAGAGGTAAAACATTAATTGTAGTTCAAAACAGATGCTCAGTAGCGGTTATTTGCCTAGTTATAATCACTGATATTAAACTGTGCCAGTAACAACTTCGAACACTAACAAGGCGGGGAGAATGCATGGATGGATGCATGCAATACACGAGAAGTTAAGACAAACAAAGTGCCAAAATATAAATCAAATACTGCAGATTAATTAATAATTCAGAGGTAATGGCATTTAGCTGTTCTGTCAGTGCACTGAATTTTTACCTTGCTTAAAAACAGTTGCCTAATACCTTTTAATGTCCGAAACATACACCACTGTAACAAAGGACTGAAAAACTAATTTAATGTACACAAGGGTTTTTTTTTCATGCGAAGTCCAGAGAGCTTTGAAAAGCTGTAGTGGTTTATATCCCTGTTTTTGAGAACCGTTTGTTTCCAAAAAAAAAAGTAGTTTTCTATTAAAAGTTGTTGTTGAACGTAATTCACAGCACAAATTCAGAAATTAAATATGTTATTGAATAAGTTAAATTCTTATTAACAATAAAGCTTAAATGCGACTAATAAACAACAATCACTAGCTTTAATCCTGTCGGCCAGCCTGGAGTCGGTGCTCCTTAATGTAAGGAAAAAAATACCAGGCGCTTGCACGAAATACCCACAGTTGTGCATCGCAGCTGAATCAGATGAGCTAAAGGCCCTCAGACTTCATCCCATTCAGGGATGAAAGGCACAAATGCTCATGAGAAAATCAGCTTGGCTCCTGCTTTAACACATCTCTACCTTTCTCCTTCCCAAAAAGGTGACCCACCCGAGTAAATTGAAATATATAACCAATTCTAAAAGCTCTTTGATTAGGCTGACCATGCTGTCTTGGAGGGCGACGCTGCCTCAGTCTCCTCTCTGTCGGGCCATGAAGCGGTTCAGCTTTTCACAGTGATCCAGCTTCATGGTCTCTGCCTTCTGCTTCAGCCGCTCGTCTCGGTACAGCTGGCCCAGATTAGCTAGATCAGATTCTGAAACGAAACAACAGCTTTAGTAATACAGGACTTTATTTTACAAAGTCATAACCTAATGGATGAGAAGGCATCATACTCTGTTGCTTCTCTTTCCAGCAGCTGCTCTGTAGGTGGTCAATATAGTCGTTCTCAATAGTCTTCTCCAGCTCATCCAGAGCAGCACCGCTGTATTCTTTCTCAAAACTCTTATCCACATAGTATGGCACACCCATGTGCTGGGTTTCTCTGGACACCACCAACCCCATGGACCTGTGAGAGAGAGTATATGTCAGGTCTTTTCTTCTAAGGATGTTTTAAACCATGTGCCACGGTTGACTTACGGTTTGTAGAAGAGGCTGTAGGGAGGGTTGGTTGCCATCAGCTGAGTGAATACAGATATCAGAATGAGCACCAGCACTGGCAGCAGCTGCAAGAGAGCTGTGAAGTTGTTCTACATGAAGAGAAACAGGAACAAGTATTGAGAGGGACCCTGTTTACAGTACGGAAGTCAGAAAGAGAATAAAGGTGAGGTCAAATTAGTGAAATCATCGTAGGCCAAAAAAGTCCATTATCAATAGTGTAGCGTATGAAGCAGAGGTGGGGGACTAGAGACACATGACTTGACTCGAGTCAGACTTAAGTCGCAAATTTTAGGACTTGAGACTTGCTTGACAAATATTAAAAAAGCGCCTAGAGACAAATCTAGCGACTTCTTGGACCAACCTTATTTAGTTTCGGAGACTCGCCAGTACTGCCGCACGAGCGCGAGGTCTTGCTTTCCCAGCGCGCACACACCTCTCTCTGCGTCTGCTCTGTTTAGCGAGCAGCTGAGAGTAGCAGCGCTTTAGGGTTAGTTCACACAAAAATGAAAATTCTGTCATTAATTACTCACCCTCATGTCGTTTCAAACCCGTAAGACCTTCGTTCATCTTCGGAGCACAAATTAATATATTTTTGATGGAATCTGAGAGCTGTCTGACCCTGCATAGACAGCAACTCAACTGAAATGTTACCAAGTCCAGAAACGTAGCAAGGAGATCTGTAAAATAATCCATGTGACATCAGTGGTTCTTCCGCAATTATACGAAGCTATGAGAATACTTTTTGTGCGCAAAAGAAAAAAAAAAACTTTATTCAACAATTAGTTTCCTCCGCATCACCCTGGTGACATTTTGGAGAATATCCGCTGGACGTAAACAACGTATGCTGTTCGGTGTCAGCTGCATCACACAGTTACGCTGTTTTCGTTCAGATCAAATCACAACAACGTAGGAAAGAGATATGGCGTGACGCATATTTTATATAAATATATACATGTAAATACATGTAAATATTTTAAAAATATATACTGTATGTGTGTGTATTTATATATACATAATAAATATACACAGTACACACACATATATTATGCAAACAACAACTTTTATTTTGGAACGATTAATCGCTGACAGCACTAGTCATAATAAAAATACATAAATGCTATACACACTGACTTAAATATACCTCTTCTACGATGAACATGTTTTTACATTTCTTTAATTTTTTTAATATATTTATTTTTGGCGTTTTCGCATTTTATTTTGATAGGACAGTATAGCAGTGACAGGAAGCGAAGTGGGTGAGAGAGAGGGGGGCGGGATCGGGAAAGGTCCATGAGCCGGGATTCGAACTCGGGACGCCGAGTTATATGTTGGCGCACTGGTCACAAGGCTATCGACGCCGACCATGTTTTTAAAATTCTGAACTAAAATGTATTTCTGTTCTTATATCAAAGAACAAGGGATCACTAAAAGGATGAAATTTAATTTAAAACTTTAAATATCTGTATTATTTCTTACAAAAATATAAAAAAAACTGCTTATTAATATTTGAAATACTTCTGTCTGCTAAATCAGCCAACAAGAAATTATATCATGCAGATGACCTCATAACACCACACAACATTCAATGTCCTGTAAATCATCTAAAAAAATATTAAAAAAAAACATTTTGGAAAAAAATGATTAAGATGTGTACACTTACATTTATTCAAGATGTAAGGACAATGTTATCATTTTAAAATTTTAAATTAAATTTTTTTTTTTAATGTCATAAGTCATTAAATTAGTTAGTTTTTCAAAACCATATGAAACCAACTTGAATACAAAGTAGAGGTCGACCGATATGGGTTTTTCTCTGGCTGATGCCGATGCCGATATTTCGAAATCAGGGCAGCCGATGGCTGATATATGATGGCGATTTTTTGGACGATTTTCTTTTCTTTTTTCCCCAGTGTTTCCCAGACTTGCAAATGCATTCTCTGCCAGCAGGTGGCGCTGTTGGAGCGGGAGATATAGCGGTTTCCCCGGTAACGGCTGTAATCAATTAAGCGCTGCGCTCACAAACGCTACTTTATCAGGCATTACAGGAAAGATGAAATGAAAATGACATCAAAGCTTTTCTGAAGACTATTTGTGGTGGTCAGTTTTGATATTGTGACAAGCCACCACAAATAAATCAATGTACGAGAAACACTGGACACTGCTATAAGTAGGGCTGTTGCGGTGAGGGAATTTCCCTTGTGGTAATTTTGAGTGGCTCAATAGCGCGGTATGCGGTATTATCGCCATACATAGACATATATATATTTATATATATACAGTATATATATATATATATATATATATATATATAATTTGTGTGTG